CCAGATGCTCCTCAAACCCAAAGGCTTGAAAACTACACAGAACTGTGTATCTGTGAAGCAAAAGCACCTGTATTTGACTGTATCGGTCCTTTTTGAAGACTAATAATTGGCTCTTGGAAGATGTGTTCTTATTTTTTGCCCTCTCCCTGCCTGGAGGATGTGACCAAACTATAAAAATAGTGAGCATTCATTGATAAGTTGAGTATGGGATATTATGGTATCCAAATATCTAACTAAACTATTAAAAACAATCCAAGGCTTCACAACTAGCACTACATTGGACATGTATGAGCCTGGTAAAGTCATTCAGACACATGTATACTCTCATACATAAATATTAAAACAGTACACGCACATCTGTATCCAGAGATCCAGGGTGTACATCTGTACACCCTGGATCTTTTTTACATGAAAGGGTAACAAAGGGAAAATCACACGCAACGCACTCACAAATACCCCAATCCATTTTGTCTAATTACAATCACAATGGTTATCTGGAGAATTACAATGACATTATATGCATGTAAATTTAAATTTTCTCCAGCCAACAACATTGACCAACTAACAACACAACAAAGTGAGCATAACAAAACAAACACTGTGACGATTTATGACAAAATATAAAAAGATCCAAATGCTGTATTTTTCTGTCCCCTGCTTTACTCTGACAGCTGTTGATGCCCTCTCCACAGGACTGGCCTTGTGCCTTGTACCGGACCCCTTCTTGTACATCCTGCCCTGCCTCCCTCATGGAGCTCGATTGGCTGAGCTCCTCCACCCACGACCGACCCGTCTGTGGAGTCGGGGGGAGCTGCCGACCAAACCTGAGGTCATGGTGTGTTGTGTAAAACCCACTGATACAAACTTCTGTAGTGCACGTTTAAGGGTAAAATTGGAATAATAACAGCTATGTAATAAAATCCATGCAACTGTAAGATTTATTTTAGAACTTCCATCTCTCGGCCAATCAGCTGTCAATATGTAAAAGAGCAAATGTTTTCTAATAAGACTGAATTGATCTGATTTAATCCCAACATTTTACTACCCAAGACGTTTTGTCGGGCCAAAGATATATATATTTATGAAAAAAAATAAGTTTAAAACAATAAATAGGAAATCCTTAACAAATAGTAACAAAGAAATTATTTATTGCTACTATTTGGAATCACTCGCTAGCCGCTAAAGAGTGCTTTGAATTCAAAATCGAATTAAATGAAGGAAAAGGCATGCAGAGCGGCACAGTTGAGCTCTGCTGTTAATAAAAAAATACACATCAATCACCACTGACACAATTAAGTAAAACCTCTGACAAGAATTACTCTAAGGAAAGAAACGTGTTTGCAGCAGGTGAATACAACCCTTAAAATGATGTTGCAGACAATAGTTACATGTTCACTTATGACAGATTACTCACTTTAAATGAGAGAAGCTAATACTAAGGCAATTAGTAGAATAAACTGAGAAGTAGGGAACTATTCAATATATCTTTACAAATAAATCCATATTAGCTCCAGACTCTCATTGTTATTATCATTGCAATTCATGTGTTTGATTCTCTGATCTGTTACTGGCAAATCATCAACTTTGTAAAGTCTTCCAGATCGACTCCGGTTGTGATTTAGGGCTATACAAAAAGCTATTGAATGAAATTGAACATTCTGTACAATAAGACTTAACTAATTTCTCAGATTGACAAATTGCATTACAATAACATTTTTTTTAAATATTAAATCTCAGGGGTCTTCAATCTTTTTCAGTCTGAGAGCTACTTTTCTACAACAGAAGAGGCAGAGAGCTAGAGCTGCAACTAACGATTATTTTGTAATCGATTAATCTATCGATTATTTTTACAATTAATCGAGTAATCGTTTGGCTGTGAATTGTGTAGACATTTTTTATCTTTTCATCACAAAAAGCTAAAGTGGCAACACTCGAGGACGTATTGATGGCGTAAACTTAAAGTAAATGTTTGTAACAGGCTCTTTGTGCTAATTCTGCTATCTGATTGGATGAGACAGACAGATATTCATGAAATTATAAAAACAAAGTCGGTTTTAATCAAAAATACTACATTTTCATGTCATTTTTGCTCTGTTTGAGTCCGTGTGAACCAGAAAACAATTAATCGATTACTAAAATAGTTGTCGACTATTTCAATAATCGATTAGTCGTCGATTAATCGATTAGTTGTTTCAGCCCAACAGAGAACTACTCCTTTTTGCGATCATAATAAAAATCAATGTACTAATTATGACAAAACATGGAAAACAGATGTAAAAGAAACACCATAATACTGTGTAACCCTATATTTATACTTATAATAGATATGTATTAACTCAAAAGTGAATCATTCAATGTCATGTGTTAAATTCTAAATCCTTTGAGGAGCTACATGAAAGGTTGGAGACCCGTGGTATGTATGAACAAAAATTAATAACTCTCCCTCATTACAGTTGTTGACTTTCAATCTGATTTGTGTCCACACCGGGCTTCTGTATTTGTCACGCTATATTTACGCTGTATTTAATGACACCTCTAGTGACCGTCACAGTGGGCTATTTTTACAAGAAGCGATGTGGCATTTTTTGAGCAGACTTCTTGTCACTCACTGGCCATTTGGACAGCAATACAAAATGGTGCACTGTATCAACAATTGGGGTTGACATTTTGTATTTCCCGTCAGCCTGCAAAGTCACCACAACCACATGCACAATCTTTTGATGATTTTGATGATTTAATGCTTTCTTATTTTGTTCAGCACTTTGAATTGTCTTGTGTATGAATTGTGCTATATAAATAAACTTGCCTTGCCTTGCCTTGCCACAATCGTCATCTCGGCAGCAGATTCCTCCGTCTCCTCAGCCTCTCCCTCAGCCTCTCCCTCAGCCTTTATAAATTCAATTAAATGTCAAAGTTGCTACAGTACTTCTCGAGGGCCTTTGGTGCAAACCTCGGCAAAGTCTTTAATTATATAGATGAGTATAGGTTTGAAAGTAAACATTCGGCGAGCTCCACACACTCTCGAGCGCTGTTAGATGCTGAGAATACTCCAGTCATCCATTATTAATAGCAGCCATTCTATTCCCTTCACTGTCGATCAATATAGACAGCAAACAAACACCCCCACATTGTTACAGCTTCACTTAACTTGTGTCGAGCGCCGGATGGGAACTTATTTGTCTCATTACATCAGTCAAACAAGTACAACTAATAAGGCTGCTATTACAAGTAACTCTATAGGACTACTTTTACTTTAACGAGTACGTCTGGTCTAAGCCATTGGACCAGTACTACTACTTCTCAAATGTATAAAAGTGAATTATGTCTCTTTATGTTTGAGGCTCTGGAGATTCTTATAATAAAACAGAAGTGTGAAGAAGTTAGTTCTGCTTGAATCACTTCTAAGCTTGTTTTTCCTTGCTGATGCAGGGGGGCAAAGGACAGCGGCGATGATCCAGGACACTCGATATTCTACGACATTTATGGACATTGGTCATCAGCCCCTTTTTATCGGTGCATTTCTTGTTTTTGAACTGTTTGATTCTCTGATCTGTTTTGGCGAATTCAACGGTTTTGTAAGTCCTCCGAGATAAGTGCGGAAGAATAACTTGAATTGAATTGAATTAAGCCACTTCTACTTCTCGTATTCTAACAAAGCAATACGTTTTAACAGTTATTAAAAACTAAGAACAATTATTGGAGTATGCGGTAAGTAAGCTGGAGGACTTTACTTTGAAACCACAAAATTGTCACACAATCCATGTAAGCAGTTCCTCGCTCTCTCAAAACGGTTTGGTTCTGTCACAAGTATGTGCTATAACTTTTACAAATTATGTCACTTTTTTATTTATTTATTTATTTATTTGGTATGGACATAACAATAGCATTGGACAAACCAGATACATTGTTTTTTGTGTTATGACAAGACTGCTAATTTGCAACACCTGCTAATTTGCAACACCTGTCCATAAAAGGCTAGGAGAAAATAAAAAACAATGCAATACAGTACACAATACATTATTTAAAAAGGTAAGTAATGTATTGTGTACTGTATTGCATTGTTTTGTTTATTTATTTATTTATAACAACATAATCCTGTTTTTTAGTTTCACTTCACGGTTGTCTGTTACTTGTGTGTACATTTTCAGTAAAACATTCAAAATAAAATCTCATGTATATGGTCGTACACTTGATAAAAATGTGCACACAGGTTCAAGCTGTACTGTTTTTTGGCCTCTGTCACATTGTTCAGATTTTTGGTGAAAAAGTAAGTGCTAAAATGTAACTTAAGCGAGACTCTTTCTCTTGGGAAAAAGTGAATTTATGAAACAAAAAAAAATGTATGAACTCCCAGAGCAGTCAATTTGACGGCTATTAGTTTTGGAAGTGTAATTACTCATCTCATGTGCATTCATGGTCTTCCTAATTTCTATGTTTATTTTTTGGATCCGTTCAAAAGCTCAAGAGTTCAGACAAAGTGTAAACCAATGGGAGGGGTCAAAATGACGGCTCTGGGAATTTGAGTGGTTTCATAATTCTAGTCCTAGTGTTAACAGACGTATCAACAAAACCAATACAATAATAATTTGTGATAATCGTCCTCTTTTGGCCGGCATAGTGGCACAGCGGTTAGAGCTGGTGTTTCACAACAAGAAGGTCCTGGCTTTGGTTCAATCTCCAGGCCTTTCTGTGTTGAGTTTGCATGTTCTCCCCGTGTCTCTGTAGGTTTCCTCCTGGTGCTCCAGTTTTCCATACCACTAAAAACATGTACAATAGGTCTGAATGTAAGGAGTGAGTGAGTGTTGATGTTGGTTGAGGGCTTTGAAGCACCAGTGTGTTCTGCGTCTCGCTTCAGTCATCACCGTGAGGAGAAAATGGAAAAATATCTGAACTTTGAACAATTGGGTGACGTTGGTCTGTAAAATTTGCTATCAATAAAGAGGACTCACTTACTTACTATCTCTACATTTGGTCCCCTACATTGCCCTCATCCCACTTACTTGTGCAGTGCGCTGGGCGGGAGCTTATTCGTCTTCTCCAGGGGGCCATAACACGACGTCTTCGCTTCCGGGATATCTCCGTGCTCGTCCAACATGGCCGCCGCTGCCGACGTGATGATGCCCAGTCCATCTCTCACCCTTGCCTCTATAGGGTAGTCCCAATCATCGTAGGACACCGAAATCATCCCAGACGGGAAGTCCTCCGGGGTTATCTCCGTGTTGCCAGTTGTGACGGACGGTACTATCCAGATGTATCCAAATCCGGTAAGGCCCAGCGAGCGCGCCTCCTCCAGGATAATGATTGCTTCATCTTTGGAGGAATAGAGGAGAACCACGGGGGACTGAACCTTCTTCAGCATGATCTGCGAGCGGCTGTCCTCCTCCACGGCGTCCAAGATGATGATGTTCTGCAGGTCCCAGCCCACAAAGCTGAAACACACAGGGAGGACACTCGTTAGATGCTAATGCTTTACTAATGGACAATTAACTTTGGCCGAGTGCAGACAAGGATAACTATAATGGTAAGTGATTTTCTCCTCTTATTTGTCAAACCGTTAAAAAAAAAAAAAAAAAAAAAAAACTAGAAGGGTGGATACCTACTGTATACTATTAATGCTTTTTACTACGTCTTCGAGGAATGGCTACACTGCAAAAAGTGAAAATATAGACTAGAGTAATTCACGTGATTTCAGGTAATTAATTTCATCACATAATGTTTTGAAAAGTTGTACTCATCCAGGCTGAAGGTACTTACATAATATTACTTGTTATTCATATTTTTTTTCTTGTTTGAAGTGAAAAAATCATGATCCACTGATAGATATTTTAGCTTGAAATAGTAGCTATTTTTTCTTATATTTTTGGAGCCACTTTTTGCCGTGTATGAATAAACTACACTTTCTGCAGCAACAGACACATGACTTTGTCCACAAATGTCGAGTCTTTAAACTTCTGGATGTTGTTGACGATCTTCATATCCCAGCCCACATGGCTAAACACACAGGGAGGACACCCATGAGATGTTAATGCTTTACTAATAGACTATTAACTTTGCCCAGGTGGAGTGAAGGGCAGCCATAATGATCTGTGATAATTAATATCATACTTATGTGCAAAGAGAATGCTAATAGATGCGAAATGCTGAGGACTTCTGAAGCAGACGGCTGGTTTTCGTACCGAGGACAAGGTCACGTAATGCTGCTGACTGTAAAAAGGGCCAAAGGCTGATTTAGTGACTTGTTAATGGGGTGATTGTTGATACTGCCGTGCAAGAGTCGGTTCAATCGTCACATAATTTTGTCTTTGGAATTAACGGGGATATGTCATAAATATGGCATCCTGCTAGCATGCGCACAAATTGTTTTGGCGGATTGGTGGAGGGAGAATGACTGTAATGAAACTTTTGGCAAATCGTCTACGGTTGCACAAATAATGAAATGACATGCAACATACACTTGTATAATTGTGTCAGAAGTCGCATTTTGTGAGCTATTAATATGTTAATCTCTGTAAACAAAGGGTATAAACGCATCCGTCAAATCAGTTTCTCATAATTGCAAAACAATTACATCATGACCAGCAAAAATAACAACTAGAAAGTTTCATTATGGAATTTGTATTATCATTCAAACGGTATTACAATTAAGAGATCCTTTATACGTCTCACAGTGTGGGGATTTCAGTGTTGTCTCACAGGTTACAGATCAGTAGGAAAGGGGGCATACAACACAATAAATGAACAAATAAATAAAGAAAATTACATAAAAACTCTCACTTGAGCATATTTGGACTCATGACTTGCGTTTTGATGTATAAAGTGTGTGGGGGAATGATCATCGTTGCAATATGGAAGTGAGCAACAACTTTGCGAGGAGACGGACAAAGAAGTTCAACAATGTGTATCATATGGTGTCTAGACTAACTAAACTTTAGCTCTTATGGCCACATAGACTGGCCTTGATGACCAGACCAATGATTGAAATTCCTTGGGATCAAAACTGTCTGTGCATGACGTGGACTTTGCGCTTGGTCAAAAAGCCGTCAGAAAATCGATAGCGGGTAATTGCAGGTAATTGGGCTTATGATTTCAGTTTTCATAAAGGATGGGTCTTCTTTTCGTAACATGTTCTTGGACAGACTTAGGAACAAAGGATAAAAGTTGTACTCTAAAGACGTTTGCATATGACCCAACTTTGGGCGTGTACATAACGAAAATGGGATCATATTAGTCCGGTTCTCAGGTCTCTGCACTGGCTTCCTGTGGCTCAGAGAATAGACTTTAAAGCAGCTTTGTTTGTGTACAAGTCTCTCCATGGCCTCGCACCAAAGTACATCTGTGACATGTTAGTGGCATATGAACCAAAAGGGACTCAAAGGAGCACAGGGACTGGCCTCCTGCTGGTGCTCAGAGTCAGGACTAAACACTAGGAGGCAGCGTTTCAGATTAACGCAGCTAAAATCTGGAACTGTCTTCCTGGAAATGTGAGACAGGCCTCGTCTCTGACAATGTTTGGGTCCAGGTTTAACACGGTTCTGTTTGCCTGTGCATACATTGAAGGATTGAATGCATTATAAAGGATATATTCTTAATGAATTGTTATTTATTATCTTAATCGCTTTTGTGATTTCAATGTTTTTTAATTACCTTTGTGATTTTAATTGTGTTTTTAATGATTTTGATCGATTGTGTGATGATTTGTGTCTTGTGTGATGTGGACTGTGAAGTGCTTTGTGTTGCCCTGTGTAGGAAAGGAACTACAACTAAAGATTGATTGATTTGAATCATGGGTGTGTTATAAAGTGCTGCCTGTCATCAGCTTTCCTGACTCGTGTGGTCTGACCCATCTGACCCTGAGCATGCATCATGGTCAAACTAAAGACATGCATTCTGTCATCCTCCTCAGTCCATCTCTACAGCTCAGTCCATTTCTATAGCACAGTTCATAGAGAAGTGCTTCACAAAAATAGGTAGAAATAATACAATGGAGTTAAACATTGTCACAATAGAAGCCTGTCTTACATTCTCAGGAAGACTGTTCCAGATTTTGCTGCATAATTCTGAAACACTAGCTTCTCATGTTTAGCTGACTCCAGCAGGAGGTCAGTCCTGCTGGATAGCCAATAGCCACTTTTTATCCACAATGTTGGTGATCATAAATATGTCTTGTAAAAAAGAAATGATTTGTTTTGACAAGATGAGACGCTGTTGCGCAGAGTTCATTATGCTCGAAAATGTCCACTCGCAGATGATGCTGAAGAAGATTCAGTCCCCCATGGTTCTCCAAGCCCCTACCTCAGGGTCTGCATGTGTCAATCAAACTAGCTCATATGTCTGTTTATGTAAATCTCTGTCATAATCATCATGCAATTTCTCAGGTTTCCGAGTATAACATTTTACTTTTTATATATAATGCCACCAGCGGCCACTCTGAACTGCACAAGAAGCAGCTCTATCTGAAAATTAGTGGAGGGTTGTCACCTAGAGGTGTTAACCTGGAACCTAGAGGCTTGACCTGGAAAGTTCCACCATGATGCCTTCAACAAACTGATGATGCAATCATCTGACTGAGACACATTCCCTCTTTTTGGGAATTCAATATACTGTAGATTAGTCCAGGTGGACAATACGGCAAAACTGTAAAACTTTTGACTGGGTATGACATATTAATATCGATTCAAAATCCAGCAACATTACTGCCATATATGGCATTTTGAGACACAGTATATACAAATAAACAGATGACACGTTAAAGTGCCTCAAAGGCTACTTTGTGTTAGCAAGGCAAATGGCCACATAAAAAAATAGCGTGGGCCGCATTTGGCACACGAGCCTTAGTTTGGACATGCTCGCAATAGATTTTATTCTATATCTATATCGTTTTCAAAGATCTTAAACGTTTTACAATAAGATTGTGTTGATTAATAATTTTAATAATGCCTGACCCACACAATCGATAATTCCGTCAAAGTCACAACACATACTCACGACTCATGGTGATTTTGATGATCATCTATTTGATTTGTTGCACAAATTCAATAACAGATTAAAAAAAAGATACATGTCCAAAAACATCTTTTATCCACCCAGAATGCCGCACTACAGCGCACAGTTGAAAATTACCCGTGTCAGCTTTGTACAGGCGGCTGATGTAAGGGCTGCAGGATATTTCTTTGAGTAACTGCTAATGAAAAGTCTCTTCATAGTTTCAGTAGATCAAACTAAATCACTAGCTCTTGCCAGCATCTTGACATCGCTGCACATGTATTTCATATTTTGACTCTTCTTGCTCAAATTATATCTAGACACTGCCTATTTGTCTCTCCCCTCCGCTCCTGTGATGTATGAAGGCGCATCGGCAAGCTGTCATCTCCATTCACTTTTAGGAGGGCTGATGGAAACCTTTTTGAACAGCCTCACGGTTAAAATAGTGGTGGTACGCCGAGGAGAGACGTAATGGCGACGTAACGCATCGAAAAGTAAACTCAGGTCACTCTCCGGGGAAATTTGCCGCAGATAATGGAGGATAAAATGGACAGGCTTGAACAGCGCCCATAAGGAAAGAGACCTAAAGTGGGGTTTGAGGGCATTAACTGTAAGCCAAGATTTTATTACCTTTGCGGCGTTGTGAGGAGTCTTGTGCTTAAAATGCAGTTAAATGCAGTGTATTTAAGTTTGATAAAGGTGGATGGAGGTGCTTTCTCTGGTACCATCTAGTGTCCAAAATGTTTTGGTAACCCTTTTTTGCATGATCAATATAATCATGCATCGGTTTTATATAGCGCCTTTTTGGACACTCAAAGACGCTTCACATGTTTTTATTCATTCGCCTCATACACAGTGGTGATTTCACGGTTCGGTTTGAGTCATGATGCAGGAACCACAATGACTTCTGGGAACGCTTCACAGTGTGCGACCCGCGTAGCTACCTCGTATATTGTAAACTGCTGCTGTGTGAACCGTGAGGCCTGACTCACTGTGTATTTGTGTAGTCTGTGTGTGGGATCAATAAAGTTTTCGGAATCTGAATCTGACTAATTATAGCGACAGTATGAGGCGACAGTAGGTCAGTTGGTAGAGCATTGGCCTTTGAGCCAGAAGGTCGTGGGTTTGAGCCCACCACAAGACTTTCACCATCAACTCCCTGCTGTTGTTGTGTCCTTGGCAAGACACTTAACCTCTGGGAACACCTGATGCCACAGTGGGGCGGCTGCGGCTGTAAAGTGCCAAGAGCTGTTGTATCCTTAGGCAAGACACTTCACCCCCATTGCCTAGAATAAGTCTGGTGTGTGTGTGAATGGTTGGTGGTGCTTGGAGGGGCCGATGACACAGACTGGTCGCCTCGCTTCTGTCAGTGTGCCCCAGGGCAGCTGTGGCTACAGTAGTAGTTTATCACCACCATGTTTGGAGTAAAAGAATAATGACATGTGAAGCGTCCTTGAGTGTCCAAAAAAGCGCTATATAAAACCGATGTATTATTATATTTTTATATCAAAATAATGTAAATGTGTCTAATTTTAGTGATAAAAATGCCGCTTTATACTACAGTTACAAAAATTGGATAACACAACTCAAAATCCACTTGTTTTGATTTTTTACAACATTGTTCCTAATCATAAACAGACCTGGAACTGTTTTTGGATGAATCTACGCTAATATCAGGAACCTCCAGCACAAACGCCTAAGCTTCTGTCTAAAAGTTCCTGTCTCAGTTCTTAAAAAGTATGATCAGTATGTATCAGTATGATGATATACCACTATGACATCGTGCTCAGAGCCGTTGTCTGCCTTCTAAAACAAAATAATTTCCCCTAGTTTGTTGACTGATTCGCCCCTAATTTGTTTTCTTTGCAATCACTGTGGTCTGTGTTTGCAGTCAATAATTGTTGAATTGATTAATATACAAAACAGATTCAACTCCTCCCTCTGGTGGTGACATTGGGAGTTACAGGCAAAAACCATTGTTATTCTTTCACCTTATTTACTTATTTCACATTCTAAAACATAAAATGACAAAATAAATTCAAAGGTAAAATAGAATTAATTGTATTTGTTTGTTTAAGGCCTGTATTCTGATTTCACAAAGGCTCTCTTATTACACTTCATGCAGCTAAGAAAACACCTCCTGATGGCGGTTTCAGCTCGCTGCGTTGTCAGCCTGTAACAAGTGTCCAATGACTCATTCGTCCAGATCCTCGTGTCTATGTGAAACTGGCTGCTACAGTGTGTACGTGCCGGAAACATTTCCCCCTAAAAAACTGTCTCCAGAAATAGTCTGAATGAAACGAGAGACAGAGGTGAAGTCACATTGTGCGCACACCAACACACCGGAGCCCACGCAAACTAAGGTCAGATTGTGACCGGGAAAGAGTGCATGAACTGACAAAGCAGGGGGTTGAAAACTATTTTCTGACGAGCTGGAACTGAAATATTATGATACATACTACACAATGTATACTGTATTTCTACACTTGGATATACAGAGACTTTATACATGCATCTTTATTTGCTAAAGCTAGAGATTTTACCCTTCTTTCTTTTTTATGCTAAAGAAAGAGATATTACATTTGCTTCCTTATTATGCTAAAGCTAGAGATTTCATACTTGCGAGTTTGAGATTTTAGATTTGCTTCCTTATTATGATAAAACTAGAGAAAGTATACTTGCTTCTTTCTAATGCTAAAGCTAGAGATTTTATAAAGTCAGAAATACTTAATTCTTGCTTCTTCATGATACTAAGATGGAGATTTTAGATTCCTTATTATGCTAAAACTTGAGATTTTATTTTATCATTATTTAGTTATTGTTCATTTAGCTTGTGCTTAGCTTCCCCACCATGGGACGAATTAAGGTTCTAAAATTGTACACAAAGCAAGTTATGTACAGCGGTCAAAGTTGTAAAAAAAAATCTGCAAAAGGTGAACCGTGTTAGAGCGAGAGGACCACTGCATGCGTTCTTTACTTTAGCATACGTTTATGGACCTTACCTGTTATCCACGGTGGTTTTGAGAACGTTGATGAACTCCTGATAACCCGGGTACTTGGAGGTCACTATGGAAAAGATATGCCAGTCGTACTCCTCCATGATGTTCAGCATGAGCAGCGCCTCCTGCTGGATGGACGCCCCAAACTGGAAAAACGTGGACTTTACATCCTGTGAACAAACAAAAAAACACACACAAATCAATATTGGCTTGTTTGCATGGCTCTCATTTCAACATCACAGCAGCAGATATAATAAAAGTACACAATCCATCAACATGCACCGTTTAAAAGTTTGGCACAGTCTGAGTCTAATACGATTCTTGTGGAGAGAAATATATGGATGAGGAGGCCCAGAACAATTCAATTAAGTCTAAATTGGATTGATGCGGGCGCACTGCGGAGCCGTGTGTGTAGGGCCAGTTCCAGAGTCTGCCGTAGCCACTCCATTAAACCCGACTCACGATCATTTGCCACTTAATTCAGCCAAAGCTAGACATGAACCCGGACACTATTACAGGTGAACAAATGGCTCCATTCATTTAGCAAAAGTTGTAATGAGTTTGCATGGTACAAGTAGCAGAGCAAATCAGGACAGAAAGTGTACGTGTACGAACAGGGCGTTTCAGTGGTAACGAGAAGTCTTGTTTTCGGCACTCTACAGTATCTTCAAAGATTCATAACAATAACCCTAACCTTACTCCCCGGACTGAAGTTAGTTCATAGATAAATGGTGACTAACTGACATACATTTGTAAATATATATTAAAATTGTAAAAAACCAACACAGGGTGAAACTCTGGCAAACACTGTTGCTTGATTGTATATGTATGTATATTTATTTTCACAGTAGGCAACATAACAATGTGGAACCATTTCTACTCGAATTAATATAATGAATCAATCAATTAATAGTTTAATGAAACTAAGAAGATAACTTGGTTTTGTTCAAATGTTTCATGAATTGTACTTTTATTTAATTGTGTATTTGTACATTTTAAATGTGTGCATTTATATCCCTTATATGTGCATTTACCTATATACCTTGGCAAGACCATGCTAATGTTTTTGCTAGTTTTCAACACTTGTCACCAATGGCAGTTCTTCTGGTCTGCCCAATGTATCTGTCCTCATAGAATAAATAAAAATAATTTCATAAAGGAAATATCACATTCACAGACTTTTTAGGATCTGAACAACTAATCAATTTAATCCAAAGGATAATCTGCCAACTAAATGTTAAAAATGTTAGCTACAGCCCATACTCTACAAGTACTCCATGGTCCTTAACTCTATGCCCTAGGGTCATTTTGGGGAATTTTCCTCGCCTGGTTTTCTTTGTGTATAATTGCTCATAAAACAGTCATCTAGTGATGCACAGTCAAGCTTTTTATTTTGTTTTTTTCAGGACAACCTGGGCTTTTAGAATATTCACACTGTACTAGTTTCCTATGCATGTAAGAAAAGTTATGAAGTCATAAAGACATGGAAAAAATTTAAACGGAAAATAAAGTTTTCAAACATTTATTGAAAAAACACAATGAACTTCAATAAACAACTTTTTTCACCATATAGACATTTTCTTTGGGGTCTTGGGGAAAATGTGTAAAAAAATTGAACTTGTAACTATATACATATTCACAAAATTGCAAAATTTGTGCAAAAAACCCAGACGTTTTTTATGCCAGATGCCAATCATGAAAGCAGTTTCTTTCTGTGACAAGGCAGAGAGGTACATCACAGCTTTTACACTTCCAGGGGGTGCATTGCCTTTTGTCTCGAGTGGTTCTACAGTGAATACAGCTTCTTCTCCCATATGAGGCCCGCCTGCTTGGGTCTTCCTGCTGTGATATTGGGACTGGCAAGTGTTCTGCTGGGGCTTTCACAGGAGGCACAGTCGCCGACACACCACACAGCTGGGCTGTCAGCTCCTCCAGAAAACATAGATGAGACATCGGGGTTTCTGCTTTTTCCTTACACAACTCTTTGTGTAAAATGAATGAATTTGTGGACGCTATATCCATGAAATGAAAAAATAAGGTCCGGTACCAGCGTTTGGTGGAGTGGCGAATGGTGTAGTACTGGATGAGTTGATCTGACAGATCAACTCCTCCCATATGCTTATTGTACTCAACAACTGGCCGAGGGCATGTAACATCCCGGGTGACCCATTTGCCGTCATTGTCTTTGAAGCGCCGTCTTACCGTTTCACCTTCGAAAGCCGAATGGATGGTGGAGCAGATGGAAACTTCACGGGAGTCCATCCACTTCACAAAAACCAGAGGGCCCTCTCTGATCCACCTCATTGTGCCCCTTTGTTCTTTCTTTTTCAAAGAGTTATTTTCAACGCGGGGACATCCTCTCCTGTTCTCCCTGTATGTGCCACAAGCACCGATGTTCATACTGAACAAGTCCATGAACAGTTTTGGGCTTGTGTAGAAATTGTCCACATACAATTCGTATCCGCCGCCCAGGAATGAGGAATTTACAAGTGAAATGACAGCATCGTATGCAAGTCCCACACCGGAGGAAAACTGGGACTTCCCCGTGTAAATAGCAAAGTCCACTGTATAGCCATTGCTGCTGTCTGCCAAGACAAAGAGTTTGAAACCCCACTTTGTCGGCTTGGCCTTCATATATTGCGTCATCCCTGTGTGGGCCTTTGTTGCCACCATCCTTTCATCAATGGCAATGTGCTGTCTTGGGTGGAAGTTTGTTTTGCATGCTGTCAGGATGGTGCCCAGAAGTGGTTTTAGTCTGAATAGTTTATCATGCTGGGGAGTTCCTTTCTTCAGGTCATTTTCAACATCCTGCTCCGGGTCGCTAATGTGGATGTTCCAGGAGATGATCTGGTACCGGTCTCGAAACATAACTTTGGCAGGAAAACCTACACTGAAGATGGAATTTTGTCTCCAATAATCCCTGACTTTACAGAGCTTTAGTAGAGAAAAATAAAACATAAGTCCAATAAATTTGAATAGCTCTGTTTCATCCAGTGTCGTCCATTTGTATTTTTTCCCATTTGCAATGTTCTTTGCAGCCTGTTTGTTTGTGTTTGTGACGATATTGGCTACAGCACTTTTGTCCACAAACAATGAAAACAAATCCAATGGACTATATGGCGTGGTAGTAAGGAGCTGGTGTCCTGGTTTCCTTTTGGGTGTGAACTTTTTAGGCTGACAATTGGTGTCGGGATCCTGTTCACTGTTCCACCTGGCTTGATCAAGTGCAGGCCCGGGCCGTGGTGGAGATCTGCTGCGGTCTGCAGATCTGCTGCGGCCTGCAGATCTGCTGCGGCCAGCAGATCTGCTGCGGCCTGCAGATCTGCTGCGGCCTGCAGATCTGCTGCGGCCTGTAGATCTGCTGCGGCCTGTAGATCTGCTGCGGCCTGTAGATGCGCTTCTACGTGTCGTTTGGCCCCTTGTTGAAGAGGAAGTGGGGGAGGGGAGCAGTGAAGGTGTTGGAGGTGTGAAGTGGGGAACAAAGGCAGTGGAGGTGCTAGCCGAAGAAGTGGACGGAAGTGGAAACTCTTCACAGCTGAAAAATAAGTAAAACAGAAACTAAGTAAAACAAATGAAATAAAAAAACATGTGGTACATACATCATATTTCACTTTATCTATCATTGTCAATATAAATAATCAACACTTCATAGCTGTAAAATATGTAAAACAATAGAAACTAAGTAAAACAAATGAAAAAAAAAACATGTGGTACATACATCATATCATTTTACTTTATCTATCATTGTCAATATAAATAATCAACACTTCATAGCTGTAAAATATGTAAAACAATAGAAACTAAGTAAAACAAACAAAACACTTACTCTTCAGCCGGATCCTGGCGATCACAATAATCAAACTCTTCATCAGTGTAAAAACTTTCTGGCTCAGACCCTGAATCTTCATCACTGGCGCAGATTAGATCAAGAGCTTCTTCAGTTGTAAAGAATTTCTTTGCCATTTTGAACAACTCTTTTGCGAAAAGAAACAGAGGATTTAGGTGCGTCTGTCTCTGGTGCGCGTCTGCTGTAAATAGAGGAGACGCGACTTCTCACCTCTGTGTGACTGAGAGCACAAGTGACCGAGAGCACAAGTGACCATTTCCGGTTCTTTTTGTGAAATAAAAAAATCAACAACAACGGGTAATAGGGCTTACAGTAACATGAATAACAGTAGAGTTCACATTTTTCACAATCCCGATAAAATAAGTCTTTTACGCATCAGTAATTACTATCACAGCCGTAGTTTCGACCATAGAGACGAACCTGTATATGCGGAGGTATAATTATCACTCTCCCTGCTGATCTTTGTCACCGGCATGAGCAAAAACAGCGTTACGATTGGATTTTTCATCTCACATGACATCGCTCAAAGATCTGATTGGACACTGACTTTCCAATAGACATAGAATATCCTCTGTGCGTCACACGGACAATCCGGAACTAGTTTCATGGAGCCTGAAGTGTCTACTTCACGGGGAAAAAAAGAGTAAGTGGCTATGATATACCGTTCGCGAGTAAAGTGATGATTTGTAAAACATGACCGCGTGCATCGGCGCCGATGCACGCGGTCATATAGGGTTAACTCCTTTTGCAGATTGAAACGATTGGATCTGAGTTTACCGTGGTGTATGTAATGCGCCTGAGTGAGTCGTTAGCATTTAGCCTAGCCATCTCCTTTGCTGCTAACGGCACCCGTGGGGAGTAGTGCCACATTTTTTTCTAGTGATTACATTTGCTAAACATTCCTATTGCTCCGGCTTCAATTTCTTGATAGAACCAGACCGGATTACTTTACTATCGCGTTTGTCGCCTTTGCCAAACTACGACCTTCCCGTTCGACGCAAACTCTTGACGTCACCCACAACACTCTTCCTTCCGCGCTCGCTGGTTGGTCGGTCGAAATTCAACTGATTGTAATCGCTAACCCAGGGACCAGACCCAGACGTTACATGCAGTGAAAGGATGATTGAGCGGAGTGTACGGATGGCGAAGGCCAGGCTAGTAGAACGAGGACTCGGGCTGTAGAACAAGGACTCGGCAGTAGATCCAGGACTCTGGCTGTAGGTGAAGCTTGGTGAACTTGAATTGAGAAAAGCAGATCTCTTCCCTGTCGCATTTTGCCGTTTGTGTGTGCACGTCTTAATTCCTCTGCCAGACTGTCATAATTATAAGCCGTTAGTTACAGAAAGCATAACTCGTGTGGAGAGAGAGAAACTTGTCTTCAGGCTCCGAAAACAATTATCCGTCTGCAGCTCAGACAACTGCCACTTCAACTTTAGCTCAATCACCACTTCTCAAGGCTGTATCACTGTGTCCACACTCAAATACTCAAATTTGTGTCTATTCCAGAGAACAGCAGACAGAGATTTTCAATACTGGGTGTATAGAAACACTTCTCAAACTGTGGTCTGCCACGGCGTGAAGCAATTCCAGCTGGAATTTGGCTCCAGCTTGCTTATGCTCAAATTTTCTTCTTTTGCATTCAGCTAAAATAAAATACAATTGAAGTTACTGTATCACCTTTAACAAAATATTTTATCACAGTAATTTAACCTTCTCCCATATACTTTTACCTTTCTAAATATACAGTTTGGTTTCTTTGCTTTGACCTATGTAAGAAGATCCATGTTGGGAGGTTCTTCAGTCCAATTCATGCTTTTCTTCCCAGTTGAATTCAGACTCCTCCATCATCACTAGTGAGATAAGATAGACTTTATTGATCGCACATTATTGAAAGCCTAACACTATCAAGATGCCGACACTCAATCAGTCCACTCTAAATATACAGTCTAAGGTTTATATTTGATGGTCAACTGTTTTTTGTTTTTTAGCGTGGTTTAGTCATTGCATTCACCACTAGACAAGAGCCCCTTTTTCAAAAAACATAGCTTTCATATTCATATTTTTGGCAGTAACGACAACAGCCATAATTTAAACACTAATGTATGCTGTGATCCATTTGAATGCCACGTCGAAACACAAGGGTCATAAAAACAAGGCACATTTGCATTGAACAGATTCTAGTGCCGTAATAAAAGTCAGAAATACTGAACATACAGCGCTGTGAACAAAAACAAAATGGGAGAAGGCAGTTGTTTACATGGAACTGGAGAGAAATTCAGATTGGAGATGGCACTGGTGGAAGAATGAAGAGAAGATCGAGCAAAAGGCAACAAATATAGATGCACACAAACATATGTATACACATAGTGAACATGCACATATGTCACCACATTCACACACATACCAAACAATATGGATAGTAGAAATGCCATTTCAAGTGGTCAATAGAAAGTAAAGTTGTGCAGAAATTTAGTTTAGCTATAAAATTTGCCATGAACGCAAAAGAAAAAATAGCTGTAAAAAAGCTGCTAAAAGTGAACAAAATCTAAAATTGGGCTTTAGTCTTAATACCGTTTCCAAATCTCTCCAAAATTTGGTCTTACATTTTGTGTGTTGCATAAGCCGCTTGTGCTTCACCCAGAGAGTCCAAAATCCTGATCTGGGCCTGGCTCCAAGTGCACGGAGACCCTACACATGAAACGAGAAGCAAGATGGATGCCGTGAGGAGGTAGAAAAAACCATGACACCTTTCATGACAACAGAAAGTATTTGTAAATGCTCTTTTTGGACAAAATTAGGTGGGTGGGTGAGAAGTCGTTTTAAAGTTACCGAAGACAAGACTTTGCCTTTAAAAATATTTGTGTATCTTTCCGCTCAATATTCAAGTTTCAAAACTATTTTTAATTTGTTTCCCGCAATTCTTATTATATAAGTATTGTACAGACTGTGCTAATATTGCAAGTATATTTCATTTGCTGCTGGAACTCTCACACTATCCTTCATTGAATTTCACAATTTTTCACAACTTCGATTTTTTCAAAAGGCGAGTAATTGCTTAAATTCGATTTATTTCCCAGCCTTACAATAAGCTAACACTGTTAGATGAAATCTGTGTGTGTGTGCAAATGTTTAACCAGAATTTGAACATTGTCAGAAAAGATGTTTTCTATATTACAGGACTTTCCAAACACTGATTACATTATTATAATAACAATAATTCATAATGTATCAATTTTGTATAGCATTTTTTTTGACACTCAAAGAGCTATCTCTGCATACTTTATCAGCAAAGTCGCAGAATACACCTTTTGCTTGGCCACACGGAGAAATATGGTGAGGCCATGTGTCCGTTATACGATAGGTTGGTGTTTGTTTTGAGAATCACAAGCGTCAGTAAACATCGCTTTTAAAAACACACTTTTAATTTTGCCCAAAGACTTGAGGCGTGAGTTTTGAGGATGACGTGTCAGAGAATGTGTCTGCCTGGATTCACCACCACTTAACCAATGAATCATTGCTTTTTGATTAGAATATTTGACACACAAAACGTTGGCATTAATTTCAAAAAGACAAATACAACTATTGTATACATGTGTGAGTATTCAATTGCTGTGTCTTGAATTTATCCATTTAAAGGCGCTATACCCGTTTCTGCAATGTTTGAATGTTTAGCACCGCCCCCCAGCTCGCTCACAGGCTTCTCATTTCACCTGCGCTCTCATAACACTGAGCCACCTAGTTTTATTTGCGATCTGATACGTATGCTAACATTAGCATTAGCGTAACTTGTAAGCTGTGCAACAATCACTGATGAAATGGCACTAAAGCAATGCACACAATATATAAGTAAAAGAATACGTTTCGCGTCCGGATGTATTAATTTAAACATTAGAATATATTCTAATATTTAATTATAATTTATTATACAGCTCCTCACACCAGCAGCACTCCATTGACTTGAATTCAATTCTTCCGATCATTTTTTCTTGATAACAGAACTCTCAAACCAATAATGACCGCAGCCCCAATGCAATCTGTTTGTAATTCAGGTGTGTAAAATACTGCCATTACTTTGCAAGTACAACAAGCTATCAGCGCCTGTCACTACATCGTGCAGTTTTTCTGCACACTTGTCTGTGTAGAGAAGCTAGCGGAGCTAGCCACGCTCAATAAACAAATACATATCAATCAATCAACACCATTAAACGTCAATCAGACAATACAGTACACATATACATCCTTAACACACATGCACGGACGATTTCAGAATTTGCTGTCAACGTTTTCATGACAAAAATACTGTTTTAAAGTGACAAAAAGCGATCGCGAAAAACCCGGAAGTTACCATGAAACAGCTAGCTAGCTTAGCTGTTACCTGCCTAGCACGTCCCGGTGAAACCTTTGGGAGCTAACTATTTTATTTGCAGTCATTAAATACATTTCTAATTATAAGGGTTGTCTAATATTTGTTCAAATATGTATATATTTTTTATTTTAGAATTATATTCGAATTTTGAAGTCGAAGCCCTGGTGTTAAGCAGCGCTGTAGAGGCTAGAGGACGCAGGCTGTTCGCTGCTCGTTCTGTGAGCGGAGGAGAACGAGCGGCCCGCTCAGACTATACTCAGCACTTTTCACTGCCTGAATTTCATACACAGTGGAATCAATGACCTCAAGTTTTCAATTAAATTATGTATTATGATACAACTTGTATGTAGTAAAAAGCATTTTTATGAACTACTTAGAAAAAAAATCGGGTATAGCTTCTTTAAGCAAGGACATCAGTGGGAGTCGGAGTAGGGTCTTTGCAAAGGGCTCGCACCACAATGCTCTTCAACTGAGGGCCACTGTCGCCAAACATTTTACCAATGTTTTCCTTATTTTACATCCCATTTTGCGTGAACCTCTTGCATAATTTCCTTAGTATTCCTTCGACTGTATCCATCTCATGTGACTTCTTATAAGCTGGTGCTAGGGACGTCGATTCAATCAGAAAATAACAGGACAGACATAAGTCATCTGAGAGGTCACAGAGATTAGCCAAATTCATGGGAAGAGGAAAA